CGTGAAAAGTAAACATGCAGTTATTAAACAAACACTGGGCCAAGAAAAGTAAACATGTAGTTATAAAACAAACTCTGTTCCGTGAAAAGTTAACATGCATTTATAAAACAAACACTCTGTTTTAAAAACAAACTGTTATACTCAAAACTAAACACAAGTCTGCGAAGAATAAACGTCGGTTTAAACAATAAACGGTGACTCGTCAAATATAAACTATAATCCAAAAAATACACACAAAAAGAGAACAACTAAACGATTTTTGAAAATTAAACGAAAAAATGAAAAAAATACACGGTAAGGGTCCACCAGTGAAACTCAGGTAAGTTGTCAGTGTGTGACACCTATAGGCCTGGATAATTGAACAATAGGGTCCGGCTTACTGTACATGGCCCGACGTCCACTTTTAGGTCAAGAAATACGATCTCCGATACATTCCTTCTAACATAAGTATTTTTGCATTGCACCTTCACATTGCAAATTTATACAAATCAAAACAGAAAAGAAAAATATTTGAAACTTTGGTCTTAAATGATAACGTCTAATGGTTTCTAGTTGGAGTCACTCAGATGCATATTTTCCTATCAAAAATGTTTTGTTTGCGAATTCAAATATCATGCTAATATTCAGTCTACAAGAACAACAGTATGCTATTGTATCTTTCAGAAACAGCAATCCACAGAAATCAGTTGCTCAGCTCGTTTGCCTGCTGCTGTCGGCAATAACCCTCAGGCCCACTGCGATCTGATCTTTTGTCACTAAGCTCTAGCAGATACTAAACTAAGGGATTGAAAAGTACTTTTTGTTTTCTAAATAACTTAGACCCATCCCAACATTGGTCGATACCCTTCCACGATGGGAAAGGATGCACTTGGGGCTGTAAGTGCTTTACTTTATCGCTTTGTGTAAATCTTGTGGCTTGTGGCTTCTGGTAAAATCCAAGGAGGAAGTTACATATAGCAACACAAGTTTCATCCTTGTTTCACAATGTGAATTTAAGTGATTTTGGGGTGATTCTACCTAACACATGCTAACGAATAAATGTATTCAGTGACTTATATATATATAGTAACAAATCTCAAATGGAAGTATTACAGAATCCACAGACAATTTTTTAGAGCCTGTAACCAGGTATGGACCCAACCAAGGCGGTTTGGACTTCAAACTCTTTCCCCCTTTGGTTTATGAGTTCTTCTTGTAGGAAACATTTCCCAATTCAAAGAAAATCTCCGACAGCCTGATATCATAAGTTTGTTTAAATTTATTCTTGTTTATTACATGAAATTAACCATGCCAAAACTAGCACTTCGAAAAAGATATATATTCTTAGTTTTCGATCTGAATTTGAAATTAAAATGACAACAGGCAGAGTGTTCGGTACACACATGAAAAGGAAGAGATTTCCAGTATTGACCTTGGACCACACTTACCCGCCATTGTGCTGTATCCCGTGTCCATGGTCGTCTGACACGTCACCGTCCATCAGAGTACCGGGCTAAAAAACACAATAATAGTTTATCACCAAGCACGTCAATTATGATTTAATATAAAAAATAAACAAATTCCATATTTTAAGAAAAAACAAATGCATGGAAATTAAAGCCTTTCAGAAGCTCGACTCTTCCTGTACTTTGCATTTTTTTCCTTGCCACAAGGTGCTGAAAGTAAGATCTCCCAGATAAGGTAGGGGTTAGGGGATTGGGAGGGGGTTTATTACAGGACACTGAAATATCATTTAAATCAATATCTACTGAAAAGCAATTGATGTGTTATATGGATCCGCTTATTACCAGGCATGTTGCTTATTGTCAGAAAAATATGGTAATTATCGGCAGGAAAAAACATGCTTACATCAGATCATCATATTATAAACCTCCCACACCTCAAATCTCCTTGATTTAAAAAATGTGTACAGTACACAAAATGGTCAGTGGTATATATGAACCAAACTAGAACACCGACAGGTCAGCAAGGACCTTGCCATGTACCGACTCTTCCCCCTACCCCTCCAAATCCAAGGTCTATTCATAGTAACAGTGACCTTGACCTCTATTGCACATTTGCATTTCATAGTTCATCAACATGTCAAATTTCAAAGAAAATCTCTGGAAAAAAAGTGTTGACAGACAGACAGATAGACAGACATACAGACATACAGACAAGACAAGACAAGACAAGACAGAGACGGACAGACAGACAGACTTAACTATAGGGCATATGCATCTTTATTGTGGGGCCCAGAACATACAAAATGAAGACATTGATGACAGCTAGAAACAGGTTTGTATCTTATAAACTCGACATTGACGTATAAGTCACTGTTATCAACGCTGGAAACAAACATGTGTAAATGTCCATCACAGTTAAGCCACTTCCGTTACAAATCTGTCCATGTCAGTTTCAAAGATCGCTAAACTAAATATGATTATTAATGACAACTGTGATAAGCGTATTCTGTTGAGGAAATTCTGTCCGTATATTCGCGAAAAGAAGCTAAAATGTGTATTCTACAGAAATCAGACATTTTAACACATAAGTTTCACTAAAACAGATTTTTTCCTGGTGATGGACCATTCCTTATTGTACCTTAAAGATTGATGAAATTTCATTTTGATTGAAAACTGTTTCATTTAAATAAAGAAAATATAAGGCAATGTATTTCTTAGTAAAAGGATGACAGCAAATCAATCTGATACTCTACCATATACCAGGTAGTACAAATGTAGGAAGTTGATCAAAATCTGTTCAGAAATATATTTCCTGCAGCAAGAAACACGGAGGAATGACTTACAAATGTACCAACAGAAGGTTATATCCATCTATCTTGTTAATTAAACACAAACGAATATTGTCGGCTATAATGATGTCACAGGAACCATTGATTTCAATGTGTATGGCACCCTTCTTGTCTTAGAGAAAAATGTCAAACTACTGTGGGTGCTGTCAGAGTTTTAGCACTCAGCATGAGATGTTCAAATTGTGCAATCTTATATATATATCAGCGCTTTTATGTTTTATTATTAGAGTTTTTCCATGGTTATAGACGTACTATGGTATAGTCTTATGATTATGAGCAAAATGGACCAATTACAAGGTGTTACTGACAAAGTAAATCAAAGGTTGATTTGCAGAGGTAAATTTGGATACATATTAGCATTGCAAATATGAATTAGCAGTCCTGATCAGTGTCCACCACTAAAGATTATCTCTAAATTTGTAGCACGTTTACAATAAATATAGGTAATCATATTTGATATTTTCAAACACCTTCCATACATCAACCACTACATAGATTGAGCATACCACTGGCGCTTATCATCTGCTCAGGCAGGTGGTGTAATGAATTCCATATATCTGAGTGTTCACACAGGTGGTGTAATAAATTCCATATCCTAATCAGTGTTCACGCAGGTGGTGTAATAAATTCCATCTCCTAATCAGTGTTCACGCAGGTGGTATAATAAATTCCATATCCTATCAGTGTTCACGCACCCCTGGTGTAATAAATTCCATATCCTGCTAAGAGCACTGACCAAACATTCATGTATGAGGTTATGTAAGTCTGAAATAGTCTTGCCTCCATAATATACCCCCCNCCCCCCCTTACTGGACCCTTCTCCCACCATACTTTCATTCCAATGAGGTGCGTCCTGCTTTTCAATACAAATCAATGTCCTGCAGAAGATATCTGCAGAATCATACAAGCAATAAAAGACATGATAAATCTGATTACGGAATATTTAACTGATGACTGTAAATGACATTTATCTGGTTCATTAGGTTTAGTTTCACTTTTCCAGATATAAATTTAGCTTCACTTTTCCAGATATAAACTCAAACAAGATAAATATTTTCTAGCAGTAAATTACTTCATAAACTATAAAACATTTACTGTGTCACTCAAAGTGAGCACAATACAATGCGACTGCTACCAATAGTCACTTGAGCAGACGACACATTTCCCGAAGAGTTCAAAATATTGATTCTAATGCACTTTCATCAACACCCAGTCAGCATTAGATTTGTCGCCAGGAATAACTTAAACACTCTGTAATACTGGTGATTTCTGATGTTGGTATTTACCTGCATTCCACTAAACTTTGAGTGAGTTTCTGTCCACACAACACCTGTCCCACCAGGGCTGTTCTGGTAAACAGCTCCGGTAAACAGCTCCGTGGTTATTTGATAGGACTTTGAGCAATTTTAACTGTTCCAATTACATCTGTATATACCTATATGTGGGATGTTGAACAATAACAAGAATTGGCCCATAATTCTGTCATTCAGGCAAGTAGTATGGGAATACACAGGCTAAGCGCCTCACTGAGTTTGAAAGTGTAAGATCCGGTCTACCTGTAGGTATGTAGAGAAACGTAGACTGGCTATATCAAAAGCAGAGGAGGCCGAACCCGGACAAGTCTAGGTAAACATTATTTCTAAGGATTTTATATACAACACAAAATCAAACCTTTAATGCAGTAGACATGTACTTTCTATTGATAAGAAAAATTATCATACAGCTAAGCTGCTTATAAGACCTTGGAATTTACTGAGCAAATCATGACTGTTCTTCTGAACAATTACAGTAAAACTGTACTACAGAACAAAATAAACAGCAAACTGTACTGCTGAACAATAAACTAAAAGCTCAACATAAACCCTGAAATACTGAATAACAGCAAAGCTGAATTCTGAACAATAACAGCAAATTAAGCTGTACTACTGAACAATAACAGTAAGGCTCTACTACCGAACAATATCAGCAAAGCTGTGTCCTTCAGAACAATAACAGCAATACTGTGTACTTCAGCACAATAACAGCAATACTGTGTACTTCAGAACAATAACAGCAAAACTGTATTACTGAACAATAACAGCAAGGCTGTACTACTTAACAATAACAGCAAGGCTGTATTACTGAACAATAACAGCAAGGCTGTACTACTTAACAATAACAGCAAGGCTGTACTACTTAACAATAACAGCAAGGCTGTACTACTGAACAATAACAGCAAGGCTGTACTACTTAACAATAACAGCAAGGCTGTACTACTTAACAATAACAGCAAGGCTGTACTACTTAACAATAACAGCAAGGCTGTACTACTTAACAATAACAGCAAGGCTGTACTACTTAACAATAACAGCAAGGCTGTACTACTTAACAATAACAGCAAGGCTGTACTACTTAACAATAACAGCAAGGCTGTACTACTTAACAATAACAGCAAGGCTGTACTACTTAACAATAACAGCAAGGCTGTACTACTTAACAATAACAGCAAGGCTGTACTACTTAACAATAACAGCAAGGCTGTACTACTTAACAATAACAGCAAGGCTGTACTACTTAACAATAACAGCAAGGCTGTACTACTTAACAATAACAGCAAGGCTGTACTACTTAACAATAACAGCAAGGCTGTACTACTTAACAATAACAGCAAGGCTGTACTACTTAACAATAACAGCAAGGCTGTACTACTTAACAATAACAGCAAGGCTGTACTACTTAACAATAACAGCAAGGCTGTACTACTTAACAATAACAGCAAGGCTGTACTACTTAACAATAACAGCAAGGCTGTACTACTTAACAATAACAGCAAGGCTGTACTACTTAACAATAACAGCAAGGCTGTACTACTTAACAATAACAGCAAGGCTGTACTACTTAACAATAACAGCAAGGCTGTACTACTTAACAATAACAGCAAGGCTGTACTACTAGACACTAACAGCAAGGCTGTACTACTAAACACTAACAGCAAGGCTGTACTACTTAACAATAACAGCAAGGCTGTACTACTTAACAATAAGAGCAAGGCTGTACTACTTAACAATAACAGCAAGGTTGTATTACTTAACAATAAAGGCAAAGCTGTATTACTGAACAATAAAAGCAAAGCTGTCCTACTTAACAATAACAGCAAAGCTGTATTACTTAACAATAACAGCAAAGCTGTATTACTGAACAATAACAGTAAAGCTGTATTACTGAACAATAACAGTAAAGCTGTATTACTAAATGATGACCTTGCATGCAAAACTGGTATATTAGGTAGTTAATTATATTATATGCTTGCAATATTGCTTCACTTTAACCATTTCAGCAACATTTACATTCGCTGATGTTGAAAATCTTAGAATAATTTCTCTTTTACAGACTACGTGGTTGTCTGGTGTAAAAAAAACAAGACGTGGAAGTTGGAGAATTCCTCCTTAATGAGGCCTTCACCGAGCAAGTCAGCAATGCTCGTAAGGAAGTTAAAAAGAACATAAGGGACTGAACTTTAAAATGAAAAGAAAGACTTAGTTTGTACTTAGTTAAGGACAAAGCCAATCCGTTGACGGATTCTTTAGGCGGGATTTCCTAGCCTAGGTAAAAATATTGCTTGGCGGATTCTGCCTATAAGTTGACGGATTCTTTGGGCGGGATTTCCCGGGCTAGGTAAAAATATTGCTTGGCCGATTCCGTCTATAAGTTGACGGATT